AAAAGTTAATTAACTTAATTGTTTCGTACTATTACGTAGGAACCAGCTAATCAAAACATTATATTTCATTATTATTTCTGGTTACAGAGTTTAGTTTACTTCTAAATATACAAAATTAACAGTTTTAAAAATATAACAGCTTATTCGATTCAAGGCTATAGTATATAATTATCTAAATAGAGCATAATGGAGTAAACAATAAAACCAATTAAGAAGATACAAAACAATTAAATATAACTATGAATTGAACTTTTAGAATATATATAAGATATTATTAAAATTTACGAGAAGGAATAAACACAGACCTTAAATTTTTTGCTAGATTTTCTCCCTAGTTTGCTTAATTGTTTCCCTATTTTCCTTCCTTTCTCTCCTTTCTTCCTAGCTCACAACCAAATATGCTACATCTCGATGCTACATCTCGTCAGTGGCTTCGATCTCGAGACTCCAAATATGTTCAGCCCACCATTGTCCCCCACTCACCCTAACTCTATTCAAGTTATTTTATATGCATTGTATTGCATGCCTTTTTGTTCTTATTTTGGTATTAGCTGGACGAGTGTCTAGCATGCTATATATCTCATCAATCATGAGTAGTGTCCTTCCAATTTTGTTTGTTTTGTCAATTAGGTGCCTAGTGTCCAAGGAGCATGCATACAATTACATGTGTCCGCTAATTTAATTATTTATGGTTTACATTTATATTTACACAACCTTATATTATATATAATATATTTATAATGTTATATATAAAAGTTCATACGTGTACTGTACCTCTTTTGCCTACTACTATGTTACTTTACTTTTTTTGCATTTCTTCATCAATCTATGCCCGTAGGAATATTATTTGGTTAAATAAATTATCACATTTCATAACATTTGCTATTCGGTCATATCCAGTTTATTTATTTAAGGATGACTTATTTTGCTTCAATTCTTCATTTTTTTTAATCATAATTTATTTTTAGTAGAGTTTTAAACTATTAAAACACCAATTAAAGTATAAAATTTTGAGGATGTTACAGTTTGTCCTAGATTCCAAATTCCTTCCAGATGGACAATTGCCAGAGACATCTACCAAATCTAATTATATGAGAAAGTCAGTCTGAAAAGGTTGTTTAGAAGATCACTCAGAGGGTCAATATAACAACTGACACTACATTGACCTCTGTACAATGGATCAACTACATGTGTATAACTGCACATTTTATATATCATGAGTGGAAGTTGAATAAAATGATAGTGTCTTTTGTTCCTGTGACTTCCCACAAAGGAGAGTACCTAATCAAAGCTCTAGAGTCTTGTTTAGTAGATTGGGGATTGAAATGTATCTTCATTGTGATTGTTTATAATGCTAGCAATAATGACACTGCAATAGGTTTTTTTAAGAAGAAATTTTTATCTTGGGGTGCCTCTTTTGTAAAAGTTTAGTACCTTCATATGAAATGTAATGCTCATATCCTAAATTTGGCTGTGCAAGATGGTTTACAAGAAGCTAATGGTGCTGTTCAAAGAGTCAGGGATGCTGCTAAGTATGTTAGAAATTCTCCTGTCAGGCTACAAAAATTCAAGGACATTTCAGACTTGATTCTACTGCAAACTAATCTTTCAGACATCTATGACTAATGGGGTGGGATTCGTTGTCTCAATTTTTAACTAAAGGATTTGAAAGAATTCTTATCTCTTATTTGGGTAAGCAAGACTTTTTGGATGAGCGAATAAGTAACGAAGAGAAAGATAATCACTTTTCAATTCTTGGGGCCAACTTGAGTAATTCTTTTACACATAGCTATGATAGTGATGAGGTTTTTTCCGAGCAGCTGCTTCCTTACTCTGGAGATGAGTTTCTTAGCCATGCTTCAGAGAGTGAAAAGAGGGTTCCTATTTCATCTATGGAGGATCTATGGGACTCAGATACAAATCAAGATATTTGTGACAAAGCCAGATTAGTCACGAGGGACAACTGCTCGCATATCATGAGGATGAGATCTCAATCCCGTGTTGAATGAGAACAATGAGATGTTAGGGAGGGCCTTTTGATGCATTAGGGTTGGTTTTCTTCTATTGTATTTCATGTTTCTTTGATCTTTCTTGTCTTTCCCTTCCCCTTTTTTTCCTTCTTTTTGTTTTATCTTTGTTGCTTGTACTTCCTTTAAATATTCTTTAATAAAATTTGCTTTCCTTAAAAAAAAACTAATGTGTTAAGTAATTCTCATTGAACTACAAAAAGATCGCTTTTATTAGTTAAAATATATATAAAAATTATTATTTTCTATTTTTTTTGCATTATTATATTTATAATATTACTTCAATCATTGACACTATTGATATTAGTGCCTCGCTCTATAACGATGTTTTGTGCTCCCCAAGGAAGACCAAAACAAGAAATTATCTAAGATCCTTGAGCTTATCTTTCCATTAGACTGAGCATGGTAATGATGTACCCAAGCCTACTCTAACTTACTAATTACGAAGTACAAAGTACTCTCTACCTTCCTTTAAACATTGCTATCTTGACCAATTATACGAGTATATTTTTATAGAAAAGTGTCTATAATATAGAAATTATACGAAGTATGAAAATGTCCTTTTTGTTAAAAGTAATTTCATAAAAGTATAAAATTTATATCGCCAAATATTTTAATAATCAAAATCATGGTATAAACATTATTATACTCCCTAATTGACTTGAAAGTAACAAATGGCAAACTTTTAAGAGACATGTAGTATTTTTTTTTTACTTTTTTGGTGTTTCCCTTTTCATACTTATCTATCCTTTGCTTCAAAAAAAAATACGAAGTACTTCGTACTTATCTATCCTGTTAATGTTTAAATCTAATGCTTACTTGCGTAGTATAATTATTCTCTACTCGAGTGTAGTACTAGTATATTTTACGGAGTATATGTATATATATACAGAGTATATGATAATAATTCAGTGCTCTCTAATACGTAGTACTAATAATAATCCCCTTATGTCGATCTTGATTAACTGCAATGGTATCCTGTAAATGTTGTACTATAATTCTCCTACTACTATTTTGCACCATTATTGGTCCTTTGTCAATCATTTGAATCATGCGGTGGTTCCGCCTCCGGCACATGCCGGTGTTCTATGACGTGAATGCGGTCAGACAACACAACTACCAGCCTCACCGCCACCTTCAGCTTCACCCTCAAAGCCCAAAACCGTTATAAAGACTGCAATATTTCCTACCTGGCCGCAGAAGCCAAACTCGTCTATGACATTTCCGGGAATGGCCTTGCGTTCGCCGTCATGACAGACGCCGTGAACCAGCCTCCCTCAGTCCCTCTAACGTCACTTACATCCCTTTTTTCCCCTCTCCAAAAGCCGTGACGCTTGACGAGGACGACGCTTCAACCTTCTACACAGATATGTCGGACTCGAATGCCACCTTCGCGACCATTGAGGTGAATGCTCAAGTCCAGAAGGACGCTGCCCAGGATTATAGTTTGCTTAACGTGATATGCAGGGACACGAAGGTGACGTTCTCTTCCGCAGGTTCTCGGAAAGAGAACACGTGCCTCTCCAACTACTAGCGGCGCCACCGCACGTATGCACTATGAAGTGGCGTAGCAAGGAGGTTTTAGTTGAGTGATGAATATAGGTGATCGATGTTTGAAGGTATTTGGAATAAGTAAAAGAAGTACAAATTAAAGACAAATAATAATTTAGTGTAACTAAAAGAATCTAATAACTGAAGTCTAATTAGGGGTAATAGTGAAGGTGCATTTGTTGCTTTTTCTTGCTCTACCTTCTTACGGAATGAGATGTTCAGATATTTTATAGCACCTGGATTTCCTAGGGTGCATCTTCATCTTCACTTATTATAGTAGCAACAAAATACGAAGACAGTGAAGATGAAAGGAAATACGTAGTACTTCTATTAGATTTTAATCTGATTCAGAAATCAAATCATCATATCTAAAGTTGATCAAATATACTTCCTCAATCCCAATTTGATGATCTTGTTTCTTTTGGACACAAAGATTAAGAAAGTGTGACAGAAAGACTAAAAAATCTTACTTTATTGTATTGTTCATCCTTTTACTTTTATTGTTCATTAAAAAGGGATATAAATGGTAATCCACTTTTAGTTCTTTACTAAAAAGAGAAACAAGACCATCATTTTGGGACATCCCAAAAAGGAAATACAGGACCATCATTTTGGGATGGAGGAAGTAATATATACTACGTATGTAATATGAAATCTCCCACAAACCCCAAATTCCATATATGTAACCTTAAATATAGAACTCAAAACATCAGCCTTCCATATGACTACTTAATTAACCAATAAAGGCAATAAGTGCAAGAGACCAAGAGTGAAAAAAAATAAGTGCAAGAGTAATCGTCTCACATGATTCGCCACAACCATATCGATAAATGCAAACACAGAGTACAAGAAAATAAATAAGAGGTTATACTATACTTCTTGAGCAAACTTGAAGAAGAAATAACCAAAATCCTAGATACTGAAAGCCAAAGTATCTCTTAATTAAGTACGTAGTAACATTTTTGTCAATAATGAAAAGTTTGTCATAATCATCATGCGCAATCTAACAATGTCACTTAATTAGTCAATAGTATCCAACTTTCATTTCTCCGTTGAATTAATTTATTTTAAACGAGGGCATTATCAATTACATATAAGGTTTCAGTTTTCTTTCCCCCCACAAAAGATTACTCGTTGATTTCAATTACTCCTATGATTTAAAGATTCGTTAAACAAGCATTTCAGACGTGTTTTACTCCATCTGATAAGCACTATTTTAAACGGAGTTACTTGGAATACAAAAATACATTTAAAGATTTCAATCTGAAATTATTTGTGCATGGTTGTTCGTATGTAATAATGGTCAAAAGCATGACTTCAAGATGACAACAAATTGACAATCTCGGTTGGGGGAAATTCGCAGCCGGTTAATTCAAATTAATTGTGCATTGGTTTTAGAAAAGCAAAAACAGAAACATAAAATACAGCAAAGGAGCACAATAAAAATGCAATTTTTACAAGCCTCAACATTCTGTTCAACACATCATACATGAAAATTATGGAAAACTAATATGGACTCTCTGATACACAGATACAACACAGGCATCTGTGACTCTGTAAGTGTCTATATGCGGGTTTCTGAACAAAAGTGAATGCGATGTCAAACGCAGACTGTTTTTCGCACTTTTGTCAATCTATATATGCCCAATTAGGAGAGAGTACACTGTACACCATATGGGAATGAAAAAATTGGACAATATGGCTAAAGGAGTTCTGAGTGGAAGAACAAGTTATGAAAACAAAACAAAAAATTGCAAGGATTTCTCTATAGTAAACCTGGGAGTTGGGGTGGGAGTGATTGTGGAGTTTTCACCATATGGCATATACTTGATTGATTAACATACTTTGCAAGACTTTCTACAGTAACCAAGGAGGTCAAGAGTTCCCACCATATACTCTGGGTTATTAGTGCATTCTCCTAGAGCAGCCCATCTCTCACAGTGCTCATTTACATCAGTACAATTTCCATCGGATCCCACAATCTTGTCAAAGGAATCTACGTGAATCCACTTTGTTGCAGACCATTTCTCACCTTCGAGCACGGGGCATCCGCCATGCAGGCTAATAGGATCAGGAATGGCATTTGGATGGAGACTGAAGAACAGAAGTGCATCTCCCTTCCGTGGCTTCACTGCATCATATAATTATTCCCAGATGGAGTCAGACAGACCCCAAGTATATTGCTTGTAAGTTCACATCATGAAGTAATACCACAAGATGAGATGGTCTTAGGATGAGATTAGACCAAAATATATCCTTATATTTTAAAAGTTCTAAGACGTATTTGAAAAAACAAGTATTTTTTTAACCTTTACAACATTCCTAATTGAAAAAAATATTTATTTATTATTTTCAAATCCTAAAGTAGTACATTATGGTTCCTCTCATGATCAAGACCGTGTTTTACATGGTGCTCCTAATTGCTATTTCAATGAAAGAAACTAATTCACATGTAACTAATGTACACCGTATTATTTTCAAATAAAAGAAGGGTACAATCAAGTTAAATAAGTTTAATTTAGTTTTCAAAAAATAAATTTAAAAATACATGCAAGCTTCAATTCATGAATGACTCTCTGTTTTTCTTTTTGTCACCAATGAAGACCTCTATTTATAGTAGAAATAGGAGGATGCAATAAAATCTAAATAATATCCAATAGTTAATATTTAAACATATTAGATAATATCAAATTTATCTTAAACTTGATATTAACGAATATTAAATTTTAAATATCAAATTTATTAGATAATATCACATTTCTTGGATAAATCAAAATTTCAATGTCTAAGTGCCATACCAAAAATAGGAAAAAGGGTGTACTTTAAAAAAACAAAAAGTATTCTTATTTGCATCCTGCTCCTGTCTCAATGAAGAGATAATCTCAGGGGAAACTGCCTCATATGAAATTATGGTAAGAGGGTGTACGTACTTTAAGAAAAAGTATTCTTATTTGCATCCTGCTCCTGTCTCAATGAAGATAATCTCAAAGGAAACTACCTCATATGAATTATTCTTAATTTCATCTTGGTCCTGTCTAACTGAAGAGACCATCTCAGGGGAAACTACCTCATATGAAATTATGACAGTTTTAGAAGAACTCACCTGCTATGCCTTTTTTAGCGCACTCAGAATAATCATCATTGGAAATCATTGATCTACGAGGTGATTGCTGTAAAAGCATATGCAAGAAGTTATTAGTTTATCAATTACTTGAGGGGTTTCATTTCCTTGCTAGAAAACATCATGAACAAGTAAAAAAAGGATGGTGTGATACATAGGGGTTGGCCAATCAGTTCTTTAGAATAAAACTTAGACAAATCTTAATAACAACGCTGAGTTGATTCCATAGTCCATACAAGCGAAGCTTTTGATTTTATCATATCTTACTGTTGTTTATTCCGTTTGAATCCACTTTTATCTTGTTGGAAAGATAAATTTTAGTTCTAAAACTCTTAAAGAGACTGCATAACCTGCATTTACCATATATTGAAGGATGGGTACATATTACACTGAAATTCAAAAACAAAACTTTGTTCACTCCATATAGGCGAAGTGTTTGATTTGATCATATCTTACTGTAGTTTGTTCCATTTGAGACCATTTTTATCATGTTGGTAAGAGAAATTCAAGTTATACTGGTGAGGAAGGAATAATGAAAACTAACTTACAAGTGCAAAGTGGTGGTATTTGTCTAACAGACCTACAAAAGTTCCTATCTAGCAAATTCAAACTGTAAATCTGTAATGGTATGTTTGGGACTCAGAAAATGCTAGGGAAAGGAAACAAATTTCCCAGGCAAGTTATTTTTATGTTTGGTTTTAACCTTGGAAAAATAAAAGGGTAACTGAAATGTGTTTCATTTTTTTAGGACAGAGGAAAATGAAATATGATCACTTTTAAATAACATTTATCTTAGTTTTTGTATAATAGAAATACTAATAAATAACTAAATAAGTTTGAACGGACATCTCTACGACTGTCCTATATAGAATAGAAATGGCTACTCTAGTCATTTCCAACCTATGCTGACCAAAGACTCAGACATATCTAATCATATTGTATGGCTTAAAGATGATAATTTAGCCGAGGAGAATGTATAGAAGGGCTAATAAGAGAGTTCCCTAATCAAAGTGTAGTCTGTGTAGACCAAGACTAATTGAATATGCTGTATTCTGGTATCCACCTTGAACAAATAAATCTGACTTACGGCAAAATCTACATTGTCATTAGGAACTTGTCAATTGTAAGCATGCACGCCCCTTCTTCTTTTACCGTTCCTAGTGAAAATAGTTCTATGGGAGATGTTCTAAATGCTAATATTTTCCACGGTAGTCAACAAAAATAAATCTCACCACCCCCTCATCCTTCCACATTAATCTTTTTCCCCACCCACAATGAAATGTGTATTTTCATGGAAACAACATTCCCTAGTCAAGCACATCCGGTGAACATCAGAAAATATTTCCATCTTTTTCAAGTAAAATAGAACTATTCTGTAATAAACGGCTAACTAAACGCCCTCTTAAATGCTCCCTGGTTTCAGTATATTTGTATCAATTAGCGGTTAAAGAGGTGGATACACATGGTCTTACAATATTTAGCCTGACTCACCATTGATAAAGAGGCTCTTCAGCACATCTGTCACCATTGGGTCAAAGGCTCTTTAGCCTTTGACTCATCATTAATAGAAAAATATTATGAGATGAACATAATTTGCGATAGTTGTTGTAGACTTGTGGTGATGCCGCATTGCAAAATTGATATTGTAAAACTCAATATGTATCATAGAAGAATGTGTTAGATTATCAGTGAAATGTTTCCCTTCCTCCCCCATTTTTCATTTATGTAAACGAAACACCAACATTTGTGCTAACCTAATACTAAACTTATACAGTTATACGTAGTAAAAGGAACAATAATAACAAAACGAACCTCTGCATCAGGGAAAACAGTTTCACCACCTTTTGGTACATCAGTCAGATACATGAGTACAGTGGCCATTCGGTGTCCACCACGAGCAATATTAACCTTGTCAACAAAGTAATCATGGTGTGCTTCATACTTCTGACCTTCCTCATAGTGTAATACTTGTATGTCTTCTCCATTTTCTGATAACAATAAAAACAAATAATAAGAGACCAATTCCAGTTCCACGAAACTACATATTACAATCAATAGTGAGTTGAATGAAAATTAGAATCCTGGATCCTCAATCTTTAAGCAATGCAGAGAGTTTTAGGGAAGAAAACCGTTCCTGCAAAACTTATGGCATACAGACAACAAAATGACCTAATATCTTAATAACAGGAGTCACCGAGATCCATGTACAAAGTAATTCTTAAATGCCACACCAGATCATTCCCTACAAAATTAATGAATTGATAACGCGGTGTCAAATTGGTCATTCCTGAATTTGACTCATACCTATTGGTAGAAAACTCCAAGCGGAAATTTTCTCCTCTATCCCAGAAACAATTGGATCCTGAAGCATCAATGGGGTGAAGATGGAAATGATCAGGAAAATCCAAAACCAAAACCAAAATAATCGTTAAAAACTAATAATCCATCAAACACCAAAGCAATGCACTTCATCATTTCCAAATGAATGAAAAACATAAGACAGGGAAGCTTTTTTCATCATTTCCGAATGAATGAAAAACATAATACAGGGAAGCTTTTTTCATCATTTCCAAATGAATGAAAAACATAACACATGGAAGCTTTCTTAATTAAAATGTTTCCTTGCCCTACATAAATATATAAAACTCAGATGAATAATTAGGAATTACAACATTAGTCCTAAAAAGAGGCAGAAGCCCAACATTTGGACCTAGCAGTCAGTGGTATATTGTAAACAAATGCATGAATATTTACAATTAATAAATTCAAAAAAAATATGTAACCAAGCATGTCAGCGGCTCAGCCCATAGCAAAATCAGACCTTTCCTTTAGAAATGAACATTCCAGAGCTAGTTCTAACTTCACTAAGCTTACTCTTTCCCGACTCATTGTCAGCAACATACGATCTTTTCAACTCCGATCTCGCCTACCACAAATTTAACACGCCAAACAGAAAACTCAGCTTCAAATGCAATCAGATCTCGCAAATTCATATCCTGCAACTTGAATAAACTAAATGAAAAATATAATTGAAAGCTACAAAACAACGATAATCAACACTCACGAGTGATATCAAATGATTGCATTCTTCATCTGTCAGAAAGCCTTCATATACAAAGGCTCTGGGAGAAATAAAGAAGTTACTTGCAGCTCGCTTGACGAGAACATTTAAATGTGATAGAATTCAAAAAAAAAATGTAGCTTCAACCACCTCGGTTTCCATGATATTTGCTTGACTTTAGATGGATTGACGATTGCTGAGGCTGAAGATTGGCGAGCGACCGATGCGATCATGGAAAGGAAATGAAGAAGAGCGAACCATACACACCTATCCATCTGCTCAAGGTGGACGAGACCAGATAATTTTCCGCGAGAAGAATTTGATTATTTTCTCAGTTGAAGATAAAATAAAGAGTTGAACAAATCACCCCTATTGAAGCTCTGAAATCGATGGAACTTTTATTAATTGGCATAGCAAATTGGCCTCTCGATAGATCAGGTATAGACTCTAACCCGACCCAGATTCATTTTTATTGGGAGTATGAAAAGGTTTTAATTAGATTGAAAATTTCTTGTCTTATTTGGTCAGATCTATTTATGTCATGTTTGATTTGGACTGGTTCGGTAAATGAGTTCATGTACTACCTCCGTCCCTTAAAATTTTGCCAAGTTTGATCGCCACGGAGATTAATAAAGTAAAAACTGTGTGGTAGAGGTTTGTGCAGAGGAGAGAGAATTAACAGGAACCACAAATTTTTTACTTAAAAAGGAAAGTGGCAAAGTTAGTGGGACATCCAAAAAAGGAAAATTGGCAAAGTTTTAAGGGACAGAGAAAGTATATTTTATAACTGTCAAAGTCTAGTATAAGCAGGTCTATTTAAGTTTGGTTAGATCTGATATATGCAAGTCTGATTTAGTCTGATCTAGTTGGGGACTAATATAAATCCAAAAAACATTTGGATCGAGACATGTTATTTTGTGTGGAGTATTATAACGTGTCTGATATGGTGCATGTGATTCTGATCCCCTTATGGATCACCTTGTACACGTTACAAATTCAAATAGTCCTACTATTGATACACACACAAATACACATCCGTAGAAAATCAATTGATTTAGATAATGTCCAACGCAACCGTAATGAGAAGATTTTGCAATCTCATCCTTCTTCCCGGTTATGTGGAAAACGTCATGTTGGGGCAACATCTTCGTCTCATACCCGTGATGATTGGGAGGCAAATTATGACCAAGAGATGCCATGTCCCAACCTCTTATTTATTTGTGTGATTTCATGAAGGAAGAGTTTTCCAAATATTCTATCTACATTCTGTCTATATATGCTATTGTTTTTTATCATCGTTTCAACCTAGCAAGTTATAAAACATTTTTAGAGTACTATTATAGTTGTTTTTACAGAGATTTGCCTATGTATGAGTATCAATGTTTAGGTGCAATTCAACGAGGTTAGTAATATATTTCCTAAATTATTCAATGAATTTCATGCATAATGTAGTAACGTACCCTCTACACCGAAACAGGTTACTTCATCATCTAAATGAAAAAGGCTCTGTTAAATCAACAATATCTAATATTTTGATAAAAAGTAAATATACTCATGTCGTTGCACAAAACTCGATTAACGAGTTTTCTTTACATCTAACGTTTCTGTGTGAGTATGAAGAATAGAAAGAGTTTGACATTCTCAAATGGTGGAAAGACAAACAAGGAATGTTTCCAATTTTATCAACAATGGTGAAACAAGTCTTGTCCATGCCAATTTCAACGGTTGTCGTGGAACAAGAGTTTAGTGATGTCAATAACGTCCTTACCGATTATAGAACGAGGTTGAGAACTTGAGATGTTCTTTGCTTCCACGATTGGTTGAAGGTTTGATGATGAACTCAAGAACTAAACATAACACCGCATCGCCACTTCATGGAGGGTGACAACCGACGCCGAAAGTGGAGCTACAAAGAGTAGGAGGTATTTTCAAATTGATTTTTGTTTTGAAGCAAAGTTTTAAAATGAAATTTATGCAACGCTTTTAATTGAGTAGTTTTTTATAATTGCACAAGTCTATTCAATGTTTCAAATAAACTTAAAGCTCATTTTTATGTGCATAGTTCTTTGTTTGTATTAATATTATATTTTAAAAATAAAAATTAAGTCGAAACCCATTTAGGACCGGACCGGTACACGTAATACCCATGTCGGTTCCAGGTTTTGCTAAATAGGAACAGAGACCGACCAGTTTGGGACCAGAACAAGGACGAGACTGGCGGGTCTGGGACTAGAAACGGGACGGGACCGATTGGTTTGAGACCACACCAGAATCATGACCAAAAAAGAAATCAGGGAGGTTTACTGGTCACACAGAAGTATTGTAAAGGCACTTATTGTCCCCTTATCTGAATTGTTTTTCCGCACTACATACTTCATATACTTGATTCAGTGTCAACAATGGGACCCCCTTTTTAATTCAAGTTCCATAGCTCTCATCTAACCTAAATTAATCATTGATTTGTTTGTTCATTTGACAAACAAAGATAATATCCTTAGTACTCTGGTCCACTAGACAAGGCTAGTCTTTTCTATTGAAAGATTGGGAGAAGTTTTGGGTGTTCCTTGAAATATTTGTCACCTTTGTGACAAAAAGGAATGGTCTTTACCTGATGTATCTCACGACTATGCCTTGTCTTATTTTGATCCTTCACCTACGACTCATTCCCCACACGTTGGCAACGTGTCACCCGCGCACAAACTCCTATTCTACTTTGTTCACTTCAATCTACAAAACTTGAAGGGTGACACAACGCATCACGGTTGGAACTTGCCTATATGTACACCACTGAATCTAATTAACTATCAGTTACTCCTCTAGAGGAATATGTATCCCATTCGCACCACTTCTCACCAAAAACAATTACTTATAGACACGTTCCTCTCACTGACTTCTCGTCCCGGATCATATACATAGTGATAGAGTATATGGACTTGGACCCCCGATCACATGACTATTTGGGTCCGGATTGCGGCCCACGTACGCTCAGTAGATAGCATTTACATTATTGTACACTCTATTTATTTATGTATACCTGTTGAAGTTTTTTCCTTCAACCTTTGGGTCCAACACGTAAGCCCAAAGATTTCGAGTGGAGTGGTGTATGTGTGTATGATTAACTGACCCAACAGGCAAATAAGATGGATTAAAGAGTGTATGTAGCAAGTAAGAGATTAGGTATTATTAATCAGTTAATAACTCCCCAATACAATACGCTTGCTAAAGGCTCGTCGGCCGTACGTCTTACAGGGCAGTAGAAGAGCTGCAAGTAAGAGAAATATAAGCTAGAGTGCTAAGAATAGTAAGTTGTCAACCCTTTACAACGAAATAGATGCTGCTATTTATACTACCAATGGACAGTTGGCTATGCTGACGTGGGGGGCTGTGTGTGGCTGGTGTCCCAACCACCAAATCTTCAGCATTAAATGCGCTTCCCGCTACAATCTGGGTTTCCCGCCTAACTTGTGGAGACGTACGTCCATCCAGGATGGGGCCTGCTCCTGACGATGCTGCAAAGGGCAGTGGACCGCTCGTATCCTGGCCCTTAGAGGATTTGTCACTTAGATTGGATTGGCATTGATATGCACTAATTAGTAGTGCATAAATGTATGTTTTTATGTTTGATTTGTGTGGATTGTTTACCATTTTATTTAGTTTGTAAACATTTGTGTGATTTTAGTTGTAATTGTATTTTAATCTTCATTTGTAAATTGTAAAGTAGAGTTAGGAATTATGGAGTTAGGAATTAATCTTCATTTGCACAGGAGCTAAAACCCGACCGGGTAGGACCTTGCACCCGGTCGGGTAAGAAGTGAAAATCGAAAGTGCTCAGGAAACCACTGGACCCGGTCGGGTCCATTAATGCACCCGGACGGGTCGGATTTGACCCGGGACATTTTAACGTGCCGAAACACAAGAACGTGGAAGATTATTTGATTTTGACATGCACCCGGTCGGGTGGACACTTGACCCGGTCGGGTACCCGGCCAAAGGTGTTGAAAAACACCTATAAATAGCACATTTTTCCTTCACTATTTTCCATTCCTTCTTCCATACTCTTAAGCTCGGTTTAGAATAGTATTTCTTTTACATTGTTATAGCATGTTTAGTCTCCAAATGAGAAGCTAAACTTCCATTTCTTGTCGTTGCTCTTGAAGCTTGTTGATTATTAAAGTTGTGAGTTATTTTCTTAACTTCTTCCCTTGAATATTAATTATTCTCTTAATCTATCTATATATTAATGTTGGGGAGTGTTGCTAAGATGACAATTAGTTAACATCTTGACATTGATTATAGTAGTATTTATTTTCTTCCTCTATATATTAATGCTGGGGAGTGTTGCTAAGATGACAATTAGATAACATCTTGACATTAGTTATAGTAGGATTATTCATCTTTAATCTTCTTCCTTGAATATTAATTCTTCCCTTAATCTATCTCTATGTTGATGTTGGGGAGTGTTGCTAAGATGACAATTAGTTAACATCTCAACATTAATTACTACTAGAAACGTTCAACGAACCAATGGTTAATCTTTGATGGTTTCACAAGTAAGTAACTTCGGTTTATTAATGCACGGTCGTGGTTAATAAATTTAAGAGGGATTAATTTTGTTGGTTAAACCGAAACCGTTGTGTTGAGGTTATCAATCTCAATTGATTTCATCAAGGAGTTAAGAGATTAAATGCTACTATCAAGTCGGTATATGGCGGTGTTCTATACTTGACTAATAGTAAGGGTTATTAATGAATGGTCGTTGTTAATAACTACCCTCGATGAATTGGATATACTCCTCGATTGAGTATTCGAGAGGGGATAAGTTATAGATATAACAATGATCGACTAAAATATATCAACAAGTGGAAAGTAGCAATGTCAAGTCCTTTTTATCTTTGAATTAAATCACATATAAGTTGTTCATCTTTGTGTTTAATTAAATTAAATCATTCAATCCTAAACCTCCCCTTTTATTTACTAGTTTTATAAAAAGAGAATTATTCATTTCCCTGTGGATACGAACTCTACTACGCTATACTACGTATAAGTGTTAGTATTGAATTTATTTTGACGCACCGTGACAAAGTGCCCGTCAGGCATCAAGTGGCTGTGGTTTGGGGTGGCGACGTTCGTCGCCACTGAATTTGCTTGTGGGCTTGATCCACCATTATCTGTCGGGATGGGCTTCCCTGTTGGGCTAGACGCTCGTCGGAATGAGGAGGTGAATGGGCCGGCCCCTTTACTTGGGCCATTAACCCAACAATACCGATTTGAATAGATTTAAGGAAAATGGAAACTAATAATCCAACATTTAAGCGGACTTCTTACAATAGTCCCACCTTTTCGTTATTCATGAATAATGCATCCTTTGCACCTCATCTTCATTCACTGGTCCCTGAACGCTTCATGACCTTTTATTCCAAGTTATTTTCTTATCTCTGCAAACCATTATACCATAAATCTTACCTTTCACAAAGACAATATTT